ATATAGCAAAAAGAAATAGGCTGACTAAGAAAAGTTGAGGAGAGCAAGGTCTAGATAGGCGAGCTCAGGATTCCTAAGGGAAACTGGATTAAATATAGTGTTCTGACTCCAAAGTGGAGGCCAGCTGATGTCCTTAACCAGTAAGTGTAGCTTTATGACCCAGTGGGTTGCTAGCTGTGGTCCATGTACTTTGAGAGAAAAGAAAAAGCATGACCAGAACCCCAAAGGATTTATGGCTTCAAGGTCTCAGCCTGAATCCAGCTACCGTTTAGGAATGCCTGCCTATTGCCCAGGCCTGTTTCTCCAGGTTCCTTATGACCTCTGTGCATTTCCTGACATCCTTCCAATCAACCCATCCTTCCAATCTTAGCCTAGACACTGCTAGGCTCAGTTTCGGTCTTGTAAACAAGACCCTGAACTAATGTAAATACCAACACAGTGACCTTTACTTCCAAATGTATTCTTTCTCTGTCTGGTAGACCAAATGTTCATGAACATATATTGCCAGATAACTAAGAAAGCATCAATTAGGGAAGATGGCAATCTGTCCTTCTGTGTGGCTAAATTAGAAAAAACAGATGACTCCTTGTTCTCACCCTGGTCCTCAATTCAGGACCATAAATTTTCATGAGATGTTTCAACATCACAACCAGATGTGTTAAGTCCTTTTACTTAAAAAAAAAAAAAACTTTTTAAGGGAAAAGAATTCAAGAAGCATAAGAGATGACTAAAGGTTCAGTCATGTCACAAATGATGCTTGGCACAAGTTTACTATCTGTAAACTTATGTTTATAAATTTATGTAATTTATGTAATTATAAAGTTATGTAATTACAAAAAAATTATAATTAAAACTTATTTATCATGATAAACATTGAGCTGATATATGTGCTTGCTCAGTGATGTCAGGCTTAGTCCCAAACCTCCAAACCCACCAAAAGCAAGGTCTTGGGTTAATATCCTTCCCACCATCTTGCGTGCCTGCTTAGTCAAGTCAGATCCGATAGACTGTAGCCCGCCAGGCTCCTCTGTCCATGGGATTTCCCAGGCAAAAATACTGCAGTGAATTGCCATTTCCTCCTCCAGGAGATCTTGCCAACGCAGGGATCAAACCCACCTCTCCTGCATCTCTTGCATTAGCAGATGGATTCTTTACCACTGAGTCACCAGGGAAACCCTTCTCACTATCAGATACCATTAAACTGAAAGTGCTATTTCCCTAAAATATGTACTTCAGATATTGTGAGACAAGCCATAAGATTTCACTGCAAAAACATATAAAATCACACTTGTTGGGATTTTGAATATTAACTGAAATATGAGAAATTAACATAATCACATGTTAAAATCTGTCAAAAGCTAAAAGATACTTTCTTGTCATTTATGTTTGAATTAATTAGTGGTAGTGAAATAGGAGAGAATGGATTTGTTGGCTCAAGAAGCAGAGAGGGAAAAAAATCGTGCTACATACTTAAAATGTGTAGTCTTTAAATATCCTTTCAGCATCTGGTGCCACATTGCAGAAGTATGCTCAGCTACATTCTAACAGTGATCCAAGCCCAGAGGGTCTGGCACTCTAATGCATGTTACTTTATCTTCAAAAATAGATATCAAAAGCTGATGTTGAAGCCCACCAGTCTTTAACTGGTGGGTTAATCCCTTCATCTTTCTTTAAGGAGATGAGTGGAATCCCACTTACTAAATGAGATAAAAGCATGAAAAACAATCTTCTTGAGGGCAAAGACCTTGCCGTGGTCCTCCTCCCGAGGATTCTGGTGGCTGGCTGTCTGTTCTCTCTGCCAAGGGCAGCTCAATAGGCATTTCTCATTGACCAAGATTCTCCCTGCACTGGGCATCTGAGATCATAAGGACAACTTTTGCTAATCAGGAACAACTGCCTCCCTAAACCCAAGATTCCACTGACATTTTGCTAAAGTGATTAAAGAATGTACTGTTCACTGTGACATATATGGGGGGGAAAAATCCCCTCACATAAAGATAGGAGCAAAAGAGAAAAGAAATTCAAAAGATGCTGACCTGTGGGTGGCATTATATTTTTTTAAAACAAAGATCAACACAAACTAACACAAATATTCAAACCTCAGACTGAACAGATAAATAAGTAGATGCTCTTCTCACCTACCCCTAAGAATGGAGCTTCTGGTTATTAGGATAACCCTTCTCCTGACCTGTCTACATGAACAGCACAGCTTGAGGTCAGTGCAAGCCAAGAGCACACACAGAACCAGCGCTGCCCTTGTCCCCGCTCCCACGTGACATGGCTTGTTTTCTCTCTGAGAAGCAACTGCTGGCCCAAGGAGACATCAGAATTTAAACACCCACCATCATTCATAAGAAATTACAGAAATGAGGAAGATTTGGGGTAAAGCTCTACAAATTCAAAGTCAAAACTTAGTTCTCTGTACTACTAACCAACTATAAGATTTAGGATTACTTTTTGATTTCTCAACTAAGTATACATAATGCCCTAAATGGCTAAACCATATACAATTCTGATACCAGAGAGTTAAAACTCAATCTGCAAGTATTTTGTATTATGTGTAAGAAAGGCACTCTACCTTATCTAAGAGAAAACAAATTTAACATTCATCTCACGATTTACTGGTTTTAATAAATGCTGACTCTATACAATTATAATTTCAGGGCATAATTTGATCTGCAGTATAATCAGTTGCTTGTTAATATTAGAACAGTTATATCTACATTGCAGGCAGATTCTTTACCAGCTGAGCTACAAGGGAAGCCCAAGAATACTAGAGTGGGTAGCCTATCCCTTCTCCAGGGGATCTTCCCAACCCAGGAATCAAACCAGGGTCTCCTGCATTGCAGGAGGATTCTTTACCAGCTGAGCTATTCAGGGAAGCCGAGTGACAAGGGTCACTGATTACTGTATAGTGAGTGCTTCCAGTGTGAAAAAGACTTTCTGGCATGTGATACTATCTAATGATAAAGATTTTCAAGTTCTATTAGCTTCATATGCTGTTTTACTTTCATTTTAGACCCATCCACCCACATATTTCCTTATTGATAAATACAAGTTTTACATCCTGTTTATGACACATAAAAACATTCACAGACAAGCACTCACACATTCTTCTCTCTCAAGACTCTATGTGTTTTATGGGACAGGGTGCTCGGGGCTGGTGCACTGGGATGACCCAGAGGGATGGGATGGGGAGGGACGTGGGAGAGGGGGTTCAGGATGGGGAACACATGTACACCCATGGCTGTATGTATGGCAAAGCCACTACAGTGTTGTAGAGTAATTAGCTTCCAATTAAAATGAATAAATTTATTAAAAGAAAAAAAAGACTCTCTGTGTTCTGGAAGCCAGAATATGAAGTTAAAGATTCACTACTATTCTTCATCGTTTTCTTAGAACCCAGATATTTTTTTTACTACTAAGGTTGAATACAGAAAAAGACTGTATTAGGTTCTGTCCATGGTTGGAATTAGCAAAATGGATAATATAAAAATCTAAAGGCAGTGACAGCGGGGGAGGAAGGCCATGTAAAGAGGCAGGAGGACCGTTTTCCCTGTTGATAGAAGCATCTTTGAAGTTCGCCAGCCCATGAAGAGGATTATGTGTCAGTCATTAGTATACCTGTCAGCCGTGGGAGTGAATCCAATTAAGGGAGCAGAGCAGGAGCATGGGCTCCTAGGTCCTGTCTCAGGATTCTGACACACAACCAGGTCCAAACATCACCCAAAACAGAAGTTCAACATCGGGAGCACCAAATCTTAACCCCAGCTCTTCTGCTTGTCTGACCATGGGGCCATGGGCAAATGATACATTTGAAATTTTATTCTCCTATGACATGGAGATATTAACACTTGTCTACAAGAACCAAACAATTTCATGTTGTATCTGGCAAGCCGCCAGCACACAGTAGGTCCTCAATAAATACTCCAAATAGTTGTGTTCTACTCTAGAGGGTCCCAGGAAAGATGAGAGAGAGTTTGGAAGTCCCTCTGAGATCTGGGTTTTTCAGCCAGCTTGGGCCTTAAGCCAGAAGCATCTGAAATCAAATGGGATTACTAAGATAAAAGACATACCTTGGCTGATGCTCCTATTATAACTTGGGGCTCCAAGTGCCTTCCATTACTTTTGTCACGTCCCACCTCAAAGTAGCCTCAGATGTTAGACAAATACACGGGAGTTGGCAGGCACCCTTCTTGGCTATAGAACGTTGCATGCCACCACCAAAGGAAACTGGCTATAAGTTCAGTTGTGATGTCTTAATATTTTGATTCAGAATCCCTGGTGTCACATTATCTGTGTGTAACTGTTTCTTCATTTGTGGTCATTTAGTTTAGTTTCCATTTCAAACATGCATGTCCATTGATTTATTGTTTTCATGTGACAGGAATGCTTGATTAAGATTACAAACTGCTAAAAATCAGTGTCTGTATTTATTTGATCAGTTCCTCATACCATCCAGCAAAGCAGAGATCATACATATGATTTGAGGAAAGTAACTATGATGAAAGAGCTCATAAAATGTACAAGGTGGATGTTCAAGTAACAACCATAGTGAAAACTAAATATGATTAACAAAATCAGTTTTCATCTTGGCTATTTCATATTCTCCATAGGAAAAGGAGTGCAACAAAGAGTTTTTAACTCTTCTTGGAAATGGGACAGCCAAGAAAGCTTAATGCATCCATTTAAGATATTTAGACTAAGTTCATTACTTCCTCCTCAGTGATATTTGAGAAAATTAACAATTATATCTTTGGGCCCTAGAATAAATAAAAAGTAAACCATGGTGATGGACATTAACTAGACTTATTGCTATGATCATTTTGCAATATATACGGATATCAAATTACTATTACTATGTTGTACACATGAAACTAATATGTTATATGTCAATTTTATTTCAATAACACACACACAAAAGGTAAGTCATTCTGTTCAAAGACATCCAAATATAATGTGCTTGTGTGACCATTCTTTTTAAGATGAGAGTATCCTACCTCCTTAAAGTTGTCAAATGCTGATAAAATGATTTCATGCCCGCCTCTGACAAGACAAACGGCTGCCAACAGCTCTAAGACAAGGGCTTTTGTTCTGTCAAGACAAGAAAGAAAAAACTCACAAATCAGTGAAAGTGAATGAATGATGAGTCAGCTGTTCCTTCCAAGATGAATATGATAATAAATATTTGCCAGTGTATTTTTTTAAATGTTTACTAATTAAGGCACAGTTAATATTAAAAAACATACATTATTAAAACCTTTATGATCTTCTACACATGTGGCTTCTCTGGGGTAGCAAGTTTGCAAGGCATATTTCCCACTCCCAGGATTACAAGTTACTTATAAATGAAAATTAATTCTGTGAACATTAAGTCTTTTTGTTCTATCATCAAGTGACTCAGTGTAATATGGTCGAAAAAGTACTTTTTAATAAGTTAAAGAAGATAGGAAACACAGAATTTTCAGTAAAATCACCCATTGGATAAATATTTTCTCTGGTTCTGGAGTCAAAGATATAATATTTGCTGAAAAAGTTCAAAATCAACCGAAATCAATGTCCTGTTAATACACTGCAAATCTGTTAATTTGCAGTGGCTCCATACAAGTCTCCCATGATAATGCAAGCTTCCAAAACTTCTTCCCATACAAGATCTGAAAGGAATTGGCTTACAGCTGTGCTAATACAAGAATATTTTCTCTGACTCAAGAAAATAAAACTTCATCTAAAATATTTTTAGAAGGAGAACCTTAGAGATACAATCTAAGTTTTCAAACACAATGTCAAGGACAGCATTATTTCTTCAGAGTATGATTACTTCAGTATTTCATCTTTTTTCTGGAATAAAAGCTATTGCCAACCTCTAAACAAAGATCATTCTGAAAATCCACAATATCAACTGTCTTAAGAAAAATGAATAATGGCTTCCCTCAGTGTCAGATAGACAAAGAAGCATGACTACTTGGGATTCTAGTAAACTTAAGGAAGCAAGCACAAAGTTGCAAGACATTCATCAGGGGAAGTACGAAATAATAATATTCAACATTTAAATAGGATTTACAGTTTGCATTGCATTTTCAATCACAAAGGGTGTAACTTCTAATCACATTTTTTAGCTGAATTAACAGTTTTCAGATGTGCAATCCTGTCAGAGAGATCTGATAAAAGGGAGTAACTGTGAAACATAGACATGCATTAGAACAGAAAAGGCATTATACTAACTAAAATAAATTGACGAAGACAGGCTTTTGGAGGTAATCTGTGAAATGAATAGTATATGGCACTTGCCTTAATAGGAAAGTGAACATGAAAAGAAACCTGCATGCAGTTATTTTTGTTTTGTGGTGTTTTCTGTTTGGTTTGGTAATAAAAGTTACATGTGTAAAGGTTGCAAAGCAAATGAAGTGTGGACAAGCAGTAGTAGTTTTAGTGAGCTTTCAGCACTATGGGGTGTGGCTAGGCCTGTATCAAGACTCTCCTGGCTCCAATCCTGACAACCTGGCAGCTTCATGCTCTTCACCAAGTTTTGCTAAATTTGCAAGGATGCTGAGAACCAGGCCTCAAGAGGAATGAAAGCTTGAAGAGAAGGGCCAGAGTTGTCACCAGTTTCTCAACTCTGCCACATGTAAAACTGTAACATTGATGAAAAGAAAATTCTATTTAGCTGAGGGGTCTACTGGCAATCTGAATTCAAAAAGTCACTCTTGAAAGTTTCCAAACTCTAATTTGATTCTTGACAAGCTCTCTGCTGTCCCTAGTTTGATTAAGATTTGGACATTATGAATCCAGCTTACCTTGGATTCTTGTTGTTCAAGCTTAGTGCAATCTCGTTGACAGCATGTGGGTGAGACATGACCATGTTGAAACCATACTGAAATGGGTATGGAAAAAACAAAGCATTAGGAGTTATTTCAGAGGACTGCCAATGTTGATTAAAAAGCAAAAACCTGAAGTTTCTACCTAATGTAATGTAATTTTATATCATCATAAGTACACTTATGTCTCTAGCACAGTGTCTGCACATATTTCTCTATGAAAAATTTCAGGACTGATGCTATGATCAAGGTACTATATCCCCATTCTCTATGAATAAACTATGTGTGTGTCTATCAAAATGATGAAAAGGCTCCAGGCCAGTGATCTCAATCCTGCTGTTTGGCAAAATCACCTGGAAAAGTCAACAAAACAAAACTCTGGGGCTCACTCCATGTCAATTTATTCTGAATCTCAAGGATGGGGCCCTGGCATGTGAATTTCTTTGACCTGAGTTCACTACACAGCAGGGTTGACAACCACCACCTCTAATCCCTTCTCTATCAGCAATGGCTCTTAGGACCCAAAGCCTAGGGAAAACCTGCTTTGCTCTGAGGCATGTTTCCTTATCCTTATATAAAATGAACAAAGCTCAGTAAAATGATCAAGAATCATTCTCAATTCTGCCAAGTTGAGGAATTATTCCTTTTCCTGCAAACTCTCAGCTCATGACCTTATTTCCAATTACACCTGGAAAACATAAGCGTTAGGGAAAAAACTTCCAAAAGCTCCCACCACCACATCAATACACCCACACAGATCTGTGGCTTCCCTCCTTACTTCTTCCTAAAGATGAACTGTCCACACTCCCATCTAAGGCCATTCCCCCACTTGAGCTCTTGATTCCAATCCCTCTCACTACTCAAGAACATTATCAGTCATGTCCAACTCTTTGTGACCACATGGACTGTAGCCCACCAGGATTCTCTGTCCATGGAATTCTCCAGGCAAGAATACTGGAGTGGGTGGCCATGCCCTGCTCCAGGGGATTGTCCCAAGCCAGGGATCAAACCTAGGTCTCCTGCACTGCAAGTGAATTTTTGCAGTGGATTCTCTGGTGGCCAGAAAAGACCAAAGAACATCATCTGCTCCAGCAATTCTCCCATTCACCCATCACTATTTTTCTCTCTGACTCACTACCATTAGTGTAAAAAACATGGTGCAAATTCTTTCATCTTAAACAACAAAACCAGAATCTCTCTGGACCCTACAACCTGTGTCCAGCCACTGTCTCATTTTTCTGCTATTCTTTTACAGCAAAATTCTAAATTACTCATGGTCTCCAATTCCTCTCCTCCTATTCTCTCTCAACACCATGTTCATCAGGCATTACATCCCCACCACTCCAACGAAACTGTTATCAAGATGATCCAAGACCTGCACTTCACTAGAGCCCATGCCAGTTATCCTCATCTTACATGACTCAGCAGCAGCACTGGGCACAGCTAACCACTCTCTTTCCTGCACTCGGCTCCTACTTCTTGGCTGCTTCCCAGTCAGCCTAGCTAGTGTTCCCTCATCTCTCTGACTTTAAACAGGGTGCCCAAAGTTATTTGAGACCCAGCTTGTTCTTTGCTTCTCTGTCTATTCCTGCTGATATCTTTCACTGCCGTGACTTTATAGGCAATCTACTGACTCTCAAACTTGTAACTCCAGCCCAGACCTCTAGACCCTGAACTCCCGACTGGCATTTCTGACCACCTATTTAAGATCTCTATTTAGATGTCTATGGACATCTCACAGTTAACATCTCTCCAACTGGAATATTAATAAGGTCTCCCAAATCTGCTCATCCTGCAGCCTTCCACATCTTAGTAGACGGCAACTCCATCTCAGAGGTGCCCAGGACAAACCGCTGGGAGCTGTCCTTGACTCCTTACCACACCCCCACTGCTACTGTCCTTGCCACCAAATCAGAATCTGGCCACCTCTCCTCACCTCTGCTGCTATTACCTTGGTTCATACCACCATCAACATTCACCTAAATTAATGCAACAGCCTTCTGAAAGGTCTACCTCCTTTTGTCTTTGCCCCCTGGAGTCAATCCTAACAAAGAAGCCAGATGGATCATGCTAAATTCCAGTGACAGATCAAGTCACACTTTTCCTCAGAATCCTTCAAATAGCATTCCAGTCAGCATGAAGCCAATGTCCTTTCAATGACTTAAAGCCCTACATAATCAGGATCCCCCCTGTAACTCAGATTTCACCTTCTACTCCTCTCCACTTATTCTGATCCAGCCAAACTGACCTGAGCACACCAGACCTATTCCTGCCTCAGGAACTTTTGCACTTGCCCTTCTCTCTGACTATAATTTTCTTTCTTAAATATTCCTTACCTTGTTCCCTTATTCTAGTTGTTACATAAATGTTATCTTCTCCATGACATTTTTCTGGCTAGCCTATTTAAAACTGAACTTGCATTTTTGGCACTTATTCTTATTTCTTGATTATTTTTTCTACAGGACTTAGTGATAGTTCTCTGGAGCCAGTCTTCCTCAGTTCAAATCCGAGTTCACCATTTATAGCCATACGTCTCTGTGTTTCAGTTTCCTCATGAGTAAAACAGGAGAGTAATATTACCAATCTCACAGGACTCTTTTGAGGCTTAAATTAAGTAATAGGTTTTAAAGTACTAGACTGCAGGACGCACTGCATAAGTGTCAGCTTTTATTTCATCACTATTATTATCTGGAGTGCTATATAGTTCACCAATTGCCTATCACTGTCTCCCCTCAATAGAAAGTAAGTTCCCTGAGGTATTTTTTTTTTTTTGGCTGCTGTGTTCCCTATGCCTAGAATAGTGTGTATTGGGCAATGCTCAAAAAATTAATTGACTGAAAGAATAAATGCATGTTTCCTTTCTTAAATTTAATCTGGCAAGCTTATGTTGGGTTTGAACCCTAATACTGATCTATGTATTTACCATCTGTTTCTATTTGGATCCATCTATAGACTCTGTGTCAATGGGATAAAATCCTATTTTCTTATTTGAACCATGTCTACATTCTCAGCCATGGTTTGATTTTATAACTATACTTTTGACCCTTCAGCTCACCGTAGATACTCCAGGCTCTAATTCCCACTCTGTGGTTAGGATTAATCCCACAAACTGTAATTAGTAACTCCCAGTGATTCGCAGAGTGAAGATAATCTGTATCAGTCATCTAAGGAGGACTCTGTTGTTCTACCAAACATCCTCTAAGTGCTTCTCATGAAGATTAGGAACCACAGGGTCCAACACACAGTAATTATAATTCCTTGCCTGTCATCACATAACCCTTTGAGGAACAATGACCTACCCAGTGTGTGAGATTATTCATTCCCAGGTTCCTAAAGCTGTTCCATTATTGCCCCAAACCAGTGGCTTACTCTGTCTCTAATAGTCACAAACACTTACCAAGTAATCTACCCAAGCTTACCACTGGAGGAGGAAAATGTCTTCCCTCTAAATACATTATAAATCATAAATGCTAACTAAAAGGGCAATGAATTATGAGCAATAGAAGGAACGAGATCTTTCTTCTCTAAAAAATTTCATTAAATCCTGATATTTACTTCAATTAGAAATACAAAGATACCAAAAAGAACAAGATTGAGTCTGATGATTTCAGATTTTTTTTTAAGGATTATACACAGAAACATACCTGATAATTCATGATGGCACGTAAACACATGATACAGACATGCACGTCATCTTTCTTACTCACTAATCTTGAATTTTTCAGGGTTCTTCTGCTTGGCAAAGTATTGTATCTACAAATAAAAAGGGAAACTTCCATAAAACTAAGAATTACTTTCTTAGTATGGGTAGATGCACTTTAAAAATGGACACTGTTCTCTATTTGTACCTATACCTAAATGAGGATTGCAGGTCAAACCACCACTAACGAACCCATCACCACAAGCACCCCATCACCACAGAACTGTTTCCACAGACTGTGAGGCCTAGACAATTCTGTGCGGTTGTTATCATCTTGTCAGACCATATACCTGTGGACAGTGACGCTCAACTCCACTCACAGCATATAACAAATCAGACTGTACATGAGACTCATCAACAAGCCAGGCTCTAATTTGCAGACCAAGCCAGATTTGCAGACATGGCATGCACACAGATTACATATGTGAACAAGGGGTAAAACTCAGCTTATACAGAGATCTCCTATCATCTGACCCAATTTTAACTGTACCTTCCCATCACTGCTTTCAAGAGTCCCTGTTTCAGAGTTTAAGCTTAGGCAAGGTCATACAGCTGTCATATCAGCCTGTGATACTGAATTTTAATATGCAAAACCTAAACAGTATATACATGCCTCCACACCCTCACCCAAACTCTGGTCTAGCAGCTAAAACTGAGACAGAAATGTGGTGACATTTCAAACGGTTAGGATGTTACAACGGCAGGGTTCATTCTGGAGACCCTACATTACTAGGCCTTAGTTCTCCCTTCTGCAGATTTACCAGAGTATACAAGGCATAAAGAGTGACAGTGTAAGATGGGGAAAGTAGAAAGATGACAATTCTAAGGGTTTCATTATAAGCCTTAAATGACAGCTTCAGAGGAAAAACAGGTAAGTTTTTTCTGCGACTTCAAGCCTGAAATGAAATCAAGTTTCAAAAGCCATCAACTACTTTCTGAGAGTCAATGACAGAAATGCTCCACAAAAGAAGCTATAGACCTTCCTTCTCCTTGAATTAAGCTAGTTAAAAAAAATTAAAGGAAGCCATGATTAATATTAACTGCTTTCAGAAGTCTCACAGGTGCAGACCAAGAGTTGAAAATTGAAATGACAGGTTTGTCTCCAACGGTTCAGCTGAGCAGAACTTTGACATTTTCTATGTCAAAGCCAAAGAAATTTTTGAAAAGCACCCCAGTAAGTCACTTGCTTCAACATACCTGACTGTGAAAAATCTGGTTCGCTCATGTTACTTTTAATTTTTCTAAGGACTGTCTGCTTTCCTCACCCTGGAAAACAACATTTCAGCAATGGAAGACAGCCTAATTCAGTTAAGTTCAGGAAACACATTCAGATTTCGCTGTTAGTAAGCCTAATAATACTTTGGCCACCTCATGCGAAGAGTTGACTCATTGGAAAAGACCCTGATGCTGGGAGGGATTGGGGGCAGGAGGAGAAGGGGACGACAGAGGATGAGATGGCTGGATGGCATCACCGACTCAATGGACACGAGTTTGAGTAAACTCCGGGAGTTGGTGATGGACAGGGAGGCCTGGCGTGCTGCGATTCACGAGGTCGCAGAGAGTCGGACATGACTGAGCGACTGAACTGAACTGAACTGAAGCCTTATTTCAACTTCTAAAATACAGTTTTAAAAGGTGTTGCACTCTGTCATAACTCCAGCCCAAGCATGATGGCTGACACACCTGACCGAATTCTCACAGGATCTGGGGCTTCTTCAAACAACCACATGACTAGTCTGACCCAAGAATCTGTAGTCTTCTTCGTCTATACCCAAAGTTCTCTCCCTTCCTCTGCCCTTCTGAATTTATTTTAACCTCAGGTTTGTATTTCTTTAGTGGAATCACTTGCCTGTTTTATAACAGTTGATTAGAGAGATAGTTATTTCTAACAAAGCAGTGGCTATTAGTGTAAAACAAAGAAATCAAAGTTTTAAAAAAGAAAAGGTGTTATGAAGGGAATCAATCATCCTTTGCTAAATTATATTTAAGTACAGCAGTGACTGCAGAAGATAGACTGACCAAAGCCAATTATTCTTTAAGGAACATGGGACAGGTCACTCACACAGGCACATACTTCTGCATCACTTCCAAATAAAGTTAAATGATTCCAGCAAGCAGACCAAACTTACACATTTAATGGTGCTTCCTAAGAGGCATAGAGTAACATAGAAGGTTCCTCCCTTTTATTTATTAATCCACAACTTCAGCTATACTGTAATAAGACTCTTTCTAAGAAGGAGTCCTTGTCTTTACTAACATTATTTGCAGAAACCAGTAAACATTGACCATAATACCCTACTTACTAAACATTAACACAAAAGACTTGTATTTGTTGTATGTGGTTAATCTCAAATATATTTTCTGAATCAACATTTGAAATGTATTTAATATGAAAAAGCACATGGATACTTATCAATATTCAAGGAGTTTAGAAAGCATACAAAGATGTCAATAAGTAAAATTGATTAATGTTAAAATAAGTAAAAATTTATTAATGTTATTCTGTGCTTTAAAAAAAGTTGAACTTTTTCCTAAGGTGAATGATAGTATAAAATTAATTTTTCTCTGATTTTTTTATTTATATAAAAACATAATTAAAGGCAACATTTGAACTTGTGTTAAAATACCACCATAACCAGTAACAACAACCAACCATAGTATTGACAGTTTAAGGAGATCTGTGATATTATTTACATTACCTTTCCTGATACAGATGAGAAAAATGATGCCCCAAGATGTTAAATCTACAGAGCAAGTAGACGTAAGAGATGAGACCAGACCCCCAAGTCTCCTCACTGGAATTCAGGGCAGTCACTTTCTACAGGTTGCTTCTCAATCTGACTCATCCATCAAGTGATCACATGAAAAAGCTACTGCCTGCCTACAGCCATATGTGCTAATGAATTCCCTGTCAAAGGTTCCCATTCTGTCATCCCAACAGAGTTTTCTGTCCTGGCTCTTAACAGATATCTTTCCCCCACCCCTCCAATAATTATCTCACCATATAGAATTAAGGCTTAGGTGGCTAAGAAGAGCAGTATCTGAGCATTTTCAGAACACAGTGGCTGATCCACTCTGTAAGCAAAGTTTTCTTTTTAAATCTTTATCCTCAATTACTTACCAGGCAAGGAAGGATTTTTTTTTAACTTAGTAATAAATTTGTCTCTGTGTTTTTTTAAAAATTTTTCTCTGTATTTTGGAATTCTCATTTTAAAAAAATGTTCCCCTATTAAGTAAATGCACACCTGATAAACGTCACAACTCTTTACCTCGGCAGAAATGAAGTATTTGCAAACAACCAAGAATCACTTTAAGTCCCCAAGGCTAGATTCTAGGGACTGTGTCATGGGTCAGCATGTACATTAACCTACTCTTCAGCATGCACATTTTGTGGAATTTGACCATTTATGCCATGAGATAATTGATTTACTTGCTTTAATTATCACCTGAGTAACTTTCCACCTTTTACCTTTTTGAACATGTTTTAAATCCAGCTCCAATGAACAATATCAATACTCTCCAAAGAACACATCCACATGGAGCTGGTTTTAATAGATCCCCAAGTTAACTCTAAAACACCAAAAGAATTAGGACTAACAATTTACTACATTTCAACTTTCTACAAGCACTCCCAGATGGAATTAGCAATCTTAAAGAACTGGCCTCTGGTGCTCTATCAACCACAGGAAATCAAACCAAACCTTGTGTTTAAGGCCCAAAATTGGTTTTCCCAAGCAACTACTGTTTATGCTAAACTCTACTAAATGCTAAGGGAAAGATCGAGGTGTTGCTTCACCCACCATCTAGTTTAGAAAGCAAGAGATTTTATGGATAGCCTCTGTGTTCAGATGTTCTCTGTCCACACCTCAGCCCACCCCTTCTGCTGCATGCCCATTCTAATGTGTAAAATGAACTCATAAGGGTATACACACCTGTACATCACAGTACACTGCAGTGATAACAGGCGCCCCTCAAACAAGAACACTTTCTCGCAAATCATGGTACTGAAAACCCTCATACAACCTTTTCTCAATCAAGCCATATTAGACCAAGTTAATACAGACTGAATCATGGTAACTATCTTTAGGCATATGAACGTTGTTTGAATGAGGCTCTAATTCAAGAAGTATAAAAGGACAGATTGTGGGATAAATATCAGAAGGTGACATACAATGAACATAATTGAACATGAAATGTTACTAATGCAGATTTGTTTTTTAAATTTATTTCTAATTAGTGGATAATTGCTCTACAGTGTTGTGTTGCTTTCTGCCATGCAATGGTGTGACTCAGCTATATATATATATACATATGTCCCCTTCCATCCTCCCCCGACCCCACCCCTCTCGGTCATCACAACACTGAACTGAGCTCCCTGCGTTATACAGCAGCCTCCCACTAGTTACCTATTTTACACAAGGGAGTGTGTATATGCCAATGCTACTCTCTCAATTCGTCCTCTCCTTTCCTTCCCCCATTAAGTACACAAGTCCACACCCTACATCTGTGTCTCTATTCCTGCCCTGCAAATAGGTTCATCAGAAACAGTTTTCTAGATTCCATATGTATGTGTCTAACACAGATTTAAAACACACCATCTCACAAATCTTAGTAATAGAATCACAAGACACTTCCATTCATCTTTATCTATATTTAAAATTTTCTACAATGGATGTACAGTATTCTCCAAATAAAGAAAAAGTTACACCAAAAAAAACCTCTCACAGATGGTCTAGGTTTACATTCATCTGAAGACAGAAAACTAACTAGATCATAAGATGATAACACTTTTCCCCACTTTAATCACCCCACAGAAGAATGTTTCCCAAAGGCCTCTTGAGTGGAGAGCTGGTCTGTAAACAGACAGCCAAGCTGAGGGTTTCTGTGAAGAGGCTAAATTCTGCCACAACACATGCAGCAAAAGACCCAAGTACCATCAGAACAACTAAGCCTTGCAAATCCTATTCCCTGGTGCCACACACACCCACCTAGATGCCAATAAAAACAGAATGTCATGATGAAGTTTCCAGAGAAAACTGATGAGGGTGATTGA